GCCCAAGCATTTGTTTAACAGATAAAAGTCTGTATAAAGGTTTTGTTTTTTCTTTACAAATAACTGGACAGTAATCAGTAATTTACATAGATTATGTGATAGCATACAATGCTAAAGTGAGTAATTACAGCCAGATTCTAACAAACCCATTACACTAAAAAAAACCTGTGTCTGTAGCAGATTATTATTATTTTTTTCAACTTTATTTTTCTTTGTTGACAATTACAAGGTGTGAAAAAGAAAAAAGGACAAGAAAAACAAAAACAAATACACAACATAAACAAAACTATAAACTGTCCGGATTGGGATCTGACTCAAGCTGGTAAACAATGTCCCACATGTTAATGTCAGTAATCCACTTTGTCAGTTTTCCCACAGTGGAGTCCATCTTTATTCTAATTCTGTGGGTCAAATCCTCCATGACATATATGTCCTTGACCATTTTCAGCCAGTCCTCTTTGTCCGGGGGGTTTTCTTTGTACCATTTTTTGGTGATTGTTTTTTCACTGGCAGCGATCAGGATTTTAAACCTGTCAGATTGACACCAAATATTTCCAAGATACAACACTGGTAGCAGATTATTAAAGCAGCAAAAGACCCTTTCAGTGTTTCCACATGTGTAAAGAAACTGTGTTTGGCTCCTTGAAAATGGGTTTTATTGGCTGTTTTGCATATTTTCCATAGTGGCATGTAAACTGGGTGTTCAATAAACACAGAGCTTTAATCTGGAACAGGACTTGTGTCTTTCCTGTGGAGAAGGCTCAGCTTTTTGGGCTCCTGAACGGACTGAAACCCTGCTGCCTCAGGCCGGCCAGAGGCAGGAAGAGCTGCGGCTCCGGGGGAAACTGGTCCCAGGGGGTCCAGGTCCAGCCTGAGGAGGAGAGCTTAGGGTTAGGGTTAGGGTTAGGGTTAGGGTTAGGGTTAGGGCAGTGCTTCTCAATTATTTTCTAGCAAGAAGAAAAATATTCGCGCTCCCCCCCCCACTCCCCACCGTGACTATCCATCTCTGCATAACATTTTATCCTTATTAACGTTAAAGAAAAGAAAAAAAGAAAGATATATGGTCAAACTTACAAAGAATAACTTTATTAAGTCGTGTTTTAAGTCTGCAACAGAAAAGATTTATTAATTAATTAAAAATGAATAAATCCTTGTTTAAACTGTAAACATGTTTGACCAACTAATTGCACCATTGCAAAATTAAATCAAATCAATAAATAATATTTAATAATTATAATAACTAATAAACTACATAAAAAATAAAAATAAAACTAATTTATATTCAGTTAAGCAACATTAACTCAGGAGCACAATATATAAAACACTTGGCTTTCGGGTGACTTTCTTTTGACTTATCTTTGTCTCCCTCCGCTTTTCTTTTCATCCCCGTTAAAAACTTTTTCATGTTGGGGGTGATTATGTTGAATAACGGAGGCTACAGACAGTCGGAGCTAACCGAGAGCCCCACTATTTGAGAAGCACTGGGTTAGGGTTAGGGTTAGGGTTAGGGCCCAGGGGCTCCGTCCAGGTACTGTAGTGGATTATATCTCACAATGCATATACACATGTTGCAGTAATTATAGTGTACCTTAACATATATCAAAGAAAATAATTGAATAAGAAAATAATGTGTGTGGCAGTGGAAAAAACCAAGGTTCAGAGGTCAAACTATAAAAGCCTGTAGGCTCAGGTAACCAAAGGGTCAATGCAAAAAAAACATGTATCACCTTAAAAACCATGGGTAGATACTAAAAAATGACCGGAATGGACAATGATGTGTAAACAGGAAGGTGGGGCGAGGATGCCCATTTTAAAAAATACGCACCCTAGGGGAATTTCCACCGGTATAAAATCGGGGAACAGGGATATTTGTGGAAAAATACCTGAAATTACGTCATAATTAGGAGACCAAGACCCAGGGAGTGTATATAAGCAGACCACTTTTCCCAAGAGAGCGGGTGTTAGCCTGGCTAACAGCTCATGTGTGGTTGACTTGTATTTGCTGCAATAAACCACTCTGGACCGAGACCCAGCTGCCTCTGCTTCTTTTTGGCCACTGTTTGAGATTTTTCAACTGCTTCTCCAAGAACTTAGTGTTTCTAAAAGACTTAGAATAATTCACCACGTCGTCGGGAGGACATCCACGACAGTACCTTCGTTCTTCTCCGGTTCCAGGTTCTCCGGCTCCCCGGAAAGTGTCCGGTCCAGTTCGCCCTGCATGATGATGGTGACGTAGTGGTACTCCTCCTCCAGCCTCACGGAGTTCACCACCGAAGCAAAGCGCACGCCCCACAGACGCACGCCCGCCTCCTCCAGGACCTCCCTGTGAGCACAGGCCTCCCACGACTCCCTAACAAACACACAGGCACAGTCTTTCTTAGACTTAGACAGTACTTTATTGATCCCTTGGGAAGACTCCCTCAGGAAATTAAGGTTACCAGCAGCTTAAAGGGCAGAAAGTATCAAGTTTGAATTAAATTAAGCAAAAAAATACAAATAAATAAATACAAATACAAAAAACACAGATTAAGTACAGTGTATATAATAGGAGTATGTGTATGTGATATCTCTTCCCCCTGTCCTGTGTCACCTCCTCGCCCCCAGTGAGGCGTTTACAGTTTGATGGCGTGGGGGACAAAAGAGTTCTTAAGTCTGGACCCAAACACAACAGACACCATGCCAAAATACCTACTGCGTCCTTTAAATGTGCACAGGAAATGTCAGATCCTGCTGTAATTAATAAGCATAGTACGGGGTGTTGTGGTTGTGGGAAATTGGAAACAGTTCAGCATGTTTTTTTGGAGTGTAGTAAATATACTCAAGAAAGAGAGAGGTTATGTAGAGAGTTAGGCAGGAATAAAATAAAAGTGGATATGGGGGATTTGTTTCAGAGGTCGTCGGGGGATGTGGTTTTTGGGAGTGTTGTCAGTTTTCTAAGAAGAACGGGTGTGTTAGAAAGAATTTAATAGATTGTCGGATCCATACTCCATTCTGGAAGGTGGCGGTAATGAACCTAAAAGTTGTTTGCCAACCGCCATTAAAAAAAAAAAGAAGATCCTGCTGCAAGTTTCCCAAAAGAAGGTGAGCAAATACTCTGTTGGTTTATTTAGTAAACAGCAGGTCCAGATAGTGTTCAGTAATCAGTGCTAGGACGCAGGAGACTTTGAAAAAAATAGTTTTATTATAAAAAAGGTAACAACAGCTGGGTCCAGAGCACCTAAAGAACTCATGAGGGAACTTTAAATGAAAAATATGGAAACGCAGAAACAACAAAAAGCACAAACAGGTGATGGATAGCTGATGATAACAGAGGAGGACAGAAACCAGAGGGAGGCTGATTAGTGAGTGAAAACAGCTGAGGATCAGACACATGAGGAGGACCTGATGACCAGGCTGGAAGTGAAACTAGCTTATTAGAAAACAAAGGAGGTAAACAAAGTTCTGATTTTAAGATAATTTGTTTCTGTTGCCTAAAAAAACTATTATTTTCTAACAAAATGCTCAGATTTTTGTCTCATCTGTGTTTTATTTTTTACATTTGAAAATACTAAATGAACATCTTTCAGATATGGTGAAATTATCATATTTTGTGCTGAGTATTTCAATTTTCTGCCTCTCTTTGGGATTAAACTTTGTGATGCCTGTAGTGCCAATACACCGCACCAGACTACGTTTAAAAATACGGTCATTTAATATTTTAGCACATTTACCTGACAGAAAAGTGTCAGATTATCAGTTCAGGACGTGTCTCTATATTTGCTGGACATTTCGGCACGTTCACAATGTTTATATATAGATAATGAACGGCGAACGGGGGCAGATTTGACAGTTAACTGCTAGCTACCCACGTACCCGAACTCCAGGTGACCACCGGGGAGCTGGAAGGTTCCTTTGCCCATTTCGGTCTTTCTTTTCCCCACAAGAACACAGCCTGGATGGGCCGAATCCGTTACCAGGACCCCCACACCGACCCCTGGACGTTTGACCTGTTTATGCAACATTTGAAGGAACTTAAACATTAGCTACTAGCTAACCCAACACATCCCTGGTATTTAGCACAGAAGAAGAAGAAAAAGAAGCAGAAGAAGAATTCCATTCTGTTTACTTCCTTGTTTGCTTAAAGGGGCCTTCCGTGAGATGATTAAGTTATTTTTTCCTCAATATAAGGAAAAATCACCCATATATAGCTAACATTAGACTTTGTATAGTGACTATTTTTCATTTTTATTGAAATAGATAGATTTTCAGGCCTTTATATCTTTAAGAAACATACCCCCAACTTGATTTTTTACAGTTCAGGAAGTCAAAATATTTTTATATTTTATATTAAATTAATTACAGTGATATTACCTACTAAGAAAAACACCAGATTGGATTATGTCTGAACCATACCCATATTTACGATCTTATTACGTCTATGGTCTGAACTGTCAAACCGTTGCGTTGACAACAAGCTCAATCTCTGATTGGTTGTTCACTTGCTTCCGTTTCAAGATCAAAGTAAAATGTACGACTAGCAAACATTTTCGATAAAAGTGCACACGTAAGTAAAAAAAACTAACATTTCTTTGAGAAATATTTTAGAATAAAGCAATATTCTTTTTTTCCTGCTCTGTTACGACGATTGTGAACCGTGTTTTATTTTTTTTTCTCTTCCGGTTTAATGAACGTTGGTCCTCGCGCGGCAGCCGTTGGAACTCGGTTCGTTGGATTCAGGAGACCGAGGAGGAAGCTCCGTCCCCGGGTAGCAGAGCCGTCCAGCCAAACGGGCAGCAACATGGAGACCGCCGCGGTGCTTTGCCTTTTCACGGTGGTCTCTGTGTGGGGACAAGCTGTCGCAGAGAAAAAACTGGTCTATGTGACCGTGGTGAGTGACTTTATTATCCGTTTTTCAGGCTCCAATGCAGCGTTTCCCAGAGCAGCGAGTCTCAGCTCCACGAAACCAGCTTGTAAAAAAAAGGAAGTGTTGTTGTTTTTCTTTACTTACATGTAGATAGGGTCCTTAGTCTGGATACAAATTAAAATTTGACATTTTTACAGCATTTTAGTTAATTCGGCATACAATTTTTATGTTCAAAACGTGTATTTAGATAATTACTCTTTTGTGTTTGTTTACCTGCTAGCTAGCAGTAACTAAACAGTAGTTACACTGAACATTTTCATAATGAAATTGTAATAAGTAGCCATTCCTAACCAATATCACGGTTATATTGACTCAAATGGCCTTTGCTAGATTTAGATTTAGACCAGCCATTGCTATGTAATTGAAAATCCCTAAACTTGTGAAAGTTGGAGTATTTAGGGTAAAGTGGTCAGTGCTGCTTTACCTGTCTGACCTGGCCACTTTGTTTTAAAAGAGTCATAAATGACATATAGCTTCCACCCCTTATTGTCAAGGCAGGTACAAAGGCACACAACAAGATATGTTGCTTAAGGAATGCTTTAAGGTTTTAGTTTACTCTTACTTTTGTTTGTTTTTTGTAGTCTTCTTTTTGGCAGACAGAAACATTGGAATAAATGAAATTATAGAAATCAGTTTTCTGTCCTTTTTGAATATATCAAAGAAACGACAACACACAAACCAAAATAAAAAGGAAACAAACAACAACAACAAAAGAAAAACAAAACAAGACAAATAAAGTGCCTGTCTTACTTTAATCTGACCTGAAAGCGGGACTTTCACCTTGCGTGCGTCTGATGGCTGAATTTTCTCTGCCTCTTTTTCCCTATGCAGAATAGCGAGCCACATACAAGATAGTGTTATCTAAACACAACCGAAGTCTTTGTTCTGAACATTACTGTCACAAAAGTATTTTTGATAGTTGTCTGTCAGCTTTGGCTTGTGCTTTTGACCCTCTAAGAGACAAGGATTGTGTCAGGGATGTGAGAATTGGAATAGCTCAGAGCACTGTCATGTTTTTCTGGGTGACATCAAGCATCCTGCATGTCTCAGGTTCAAACTGTGACACTTGGAGCTGGCTCAGGTTCACAGGTCAGCATTTCTTCTCTTACATGACAGTTGCTGCTGTCTTACCTCTCATTCTTAGAAACAGTCACCTAGTTTCCTGCTACAGAGCCGGGAATTCCTGGAGAGTAGAAGATTAGGTCTCAGAAAAGGATAATCCACCCCACAAATAGAGTTTACACACTTTTTGGCTGTTTAACCACATATTAGAAAACCAGAAAAGGTCCCACTTCTCTTTAGTGGCTTGAAAGGTGAAACTGAAAGTGTTTTTATTGGAGCGGGAGGCTGTGGGCAGCCGTAATGTGACCTGATTTGGTTTTGATACAGCTGTTTAGCCACAGCGGTGGGAAGTGTTTTCACACATCTAAAAGCAAAGTCCCGCTCTAACGTGGTGATCATGTGGCCCGTTTTTACTGTCGATCCACAGGAGTGGACGACATTTTTGACAAAGATCTCCTCTGTCAGGTGACTGGATGTTGTAACTGTCAGATAAAAGTAGAACAAAGGTTTGGGGGGGTGTAGAGAAGCTGCTGCGAGTTTGCAGGTTTTGCACAAATTAGCTGTTTTTTTCTGTTTGAGTTCTTACTTTCATTCAAAGCCACAGCTGACTCGTTTCCTCTCCTTCTTCCAGCTTTTTCGGCACGGTGACCGATCGCCCATCAAAGCGTACCCCACCGACCCCTACCAGGAGGGGGACTGGCCCCAGGGCTTTGGCCAGCTGTCACAGGTACAGAGCTGATGCTAAAACATGCTAACCTTTAGCTATCTTACACGATACGCTCATTTTTAGGTTTATCTTTAAAGATAATTTTGGTAAACAAGCTGCAGTGAGCTCGTCATCATAAAAAATGGCTGAACCTGTAAACATGATATTTGATTTGATATTTGTAATTTAATATTCAATATTGTATCTTTGAGTCTTATATCCATATTTCTATTCTCAGATGTATATTTTTAAAGATTGTACTTTTTAGTTTTATATTTTCTGTTCTATATTTTTATTTCTACATTGTATTTCCTTACTTCTCATAGAAGGCAAATTCCTTGTAAGTCAAAAACCTACTTGGCAATAAACCTTATTCTGATTCTGATTATGATGACACAAGAAAGACAGCCGTTATTGAGTCAGTCTGACCAAACCATCTGATTCTAGCCGTAAGAAAGTCTGGGGGTCAGAGTATTACATGTAAATGTCCAAATGGATCCTGTAAAGTTAGCAAAACCTGTCAGGTTTGAGTTAATGATAAAGGTTTTTGACCCGATGATCGTCCCATTCAGACCAGACTGGAGCTCTAATCTGATAAAAACCAGGATAGATAGATAGATAGATAGATAGATAGATAGATAGATAGATAGATGCTTAATAGATCCCCAAGGGGAAATTCAGGCTGCTTTAGCCTCCATCATCCTGACTCACGTGGTTTCTGTTTCCAGGAGGGGATGCGGCAGCACTTTGAGCTCGGCCAGTTTCTGAGGACCCGATACAAGAACTTCCTGAACGAGTCCTACAACCGGCGTGAGGTACGTCTCTGACCAAACCGACCCTCATTAGTAAAAAACTGTTTAAAAAGAGGAGGAAAGCCACCTGTAGGTGTCACCTTCCAGCTCCTCCAGGAGGTTTCAGAGGCAGCAAAACTCAGCCTCTCGTTGGTCAGAGGGTCCAGTCTGTGACCCCCTTTCTGCTTTTTTCTGTTTTCTATTTATTTTTACACTATTTCTGAGTAGGCTGGTCCCCGATATTTGCAAAAAACTGCGTATCAGCCGGCAGGAGAAAATGCAGATCCAGTTTTTTCTAAAAGTTCGATCCCACACAAGCTTTAGCATTAGCATTAGCATCTGTAACCCACAGGTCTGTGTCCTAACCATTAAGTTATCAGAGTAAATCCCTGTTCAACATGAGTCTGACAGCTAACTAAGTAGATAAATAACTTTAGACTTTAACACATGCTCTGATAGGCCGGATCGGATCAGAGGAGCAAAAAGCTGGATGTGGACATCCCTCGTATTAGTTTGATCAGACTCTTTCCTGTTTAACCCTATAATGCCAAATGTATCATATTTGATTCATACAGTTTCTGAAATGTTTTGCGTCTGACACCTTTTGCATAATTTAATGGTCAAAACTCAAAGCTCAAAATCCTATTGTACAGAAGACTACACAAAAAATAATCTTGACTTATCGCATAGTAATAAATTATCCATATTAACATTTTTTTTTAGTTTTTTTCTATTTACATATTTTGTTAAAAGGCCAAATAAAGACTTAAAACTGAAAAA